CCGCTGCCTCCCCCCCCCCACCGATCACCCAGGAGCGCGTTGCACATCTGGACTCTGCCGCGGTGGCACCCGGCTCCTTTTCCCACCTCTGCCGTCTGGGACGCAGTCCCTGGAGGAAGAACGAGCTTCTGCATTTTGCTTCCTGACGTTTGTCTGTGCTTCAGTTTGTCTAAACCGCCAGTAAGCAGCCCTGGCTGCTCTGCGAGTGCCCTGCCTTGAAGACACAGCGGGTCTGGGTTTCTTGAAACACTTAACTCTGGTCACGAACAGAGTTCATGCCAAGCCCTGCATGGGGACAGCAAAGTCTCGCGGACGAGCTGTCGGTCTTCTGCATTTTGCTTCCTGACGTTTGTCTGTGCTTCAGTTTGTCTAAACCGCCAGTAAGCAGCCCTGGCTGCTCTGCGAGTGCCCTGCCTTGAAGACACAGCGGGTCTGGGTTTCTTGAAACACTTAACTCTGGTCACGAACAGAGTTCATGCCAAGCCCTGCATGGGGACAGCAAAGTCTCGCGGACGAGCTGTCGGTATGGGCCTCACCAACGGCCATGGCTTTAGGCCTCCACCAGGCACTTCTCGGCCCAGCCAAGGCATCGCCCCCGCTGTAACGCTGCAGGGCAGCAGGTCTGGGAGCCCGGGGCAGCGCAAGCTCGGCCGCGCACGAGCCAAGTCTGAGGTGCAAACACAATGACGCTCATCAGTATAGGCTGGTACGGGCTGCTTGACCAGACCCTCCTGTTCGCTCCTCTAATGAGTCCAAGGGCTCCAGTGCTTCCAGCACCCAGCCCGTCCTAGCGCGTGGAGAACTGGGAACAGCCTCGGCAGGACAGAGCCCTCCGCAGCGGGGCCCCGCGGTGATGCCCGCTCGCAGCCAGGCCTGCCAACGCCATCCGCCGCGCTGCGCAGACACAGTTTCAGCATTCCCCTCGACGGCTGCCAGGCAGAAAGTGCTCTGTCACCGCCTCGTGACGCGAGCTCGTCATCCTGCCCGTCTTCCAGGATGGGACAAGCGTCCTAACGAGCTCTCTGCTTTTTCTAAAGCACGGACGATGCCTCCACATCCAGTTAGCAAGCGCTGACCCCAGGGCCATGCTCTGCTGTGTCCTGGTGCCCTCGTACGCCCCCTGTTCTGTCCTGCCCCGCCAGCTGTAAACTTCTCCCTTGTGCCTTTACCTACCAGCACCCCCGCGCTGGCTGGCACCCCTTGACTGCCCCCTCCCTGCTTGTTTTATTTCCAGTTGCTGGACGCAGAGCCACAACTCCTGCCTCCCCCTTGGGCAATGCTGACTGTCCCACCTCTGAAAAGCCGCTTCTGCAGGAGCTCCAGCCACCCTGCTTCCTTTTCCCACCCGCTGGAATCCTTTCCACCCTTACCATCCGTACACCAGGATCACATCGTTGTCATTTATCTTCTCAAAGGCAGACCGTGAAATGGCTTCGGCTGCTAAAACAATCTTCTCCCGCAGGTACTTGTCGATAGCGTCCTGCAGCTTCTCCTTTGCCTGGGGAGACAGTGCCGCCACGTACAGCCTGGCCGTGCAACCCTGCTCCCCACCGGCCGGCTTGCCGACCGGCGCCTTCCCCCGGGAGAGGGGCTCTGCAGGACGCACGGGTCACTCCTGCCCCAGCACCAGCTTCCCAGCAGCCCGCGCTGCCTCACCACATGCTCCAGCCGCCATCAGGCCCCCCCCAGCTCTGCCCATCATCCCCCGGGTCAGTCGCTCTGGTCATCCCATGGAGATTTTACTGGTCAGACCCTCCAGCCTGACCCCTCCCAGCCCACGAGCCATGCAGCCTCAGGGGCCCTCCCGACGGATACAGCCACCCTGCCCCGGGCTCCGCAGCCTCCCTGGACCTCTCTGCACGGGACGTAGCTGCGCACCTAAAAACTACATTCTTCACCTGTGCCTTTGCTGCCGCAGCCCTGCAGGGCAGGGGCAGCTCACGGCACCCGGCTGCTGCGGCCTTTG